AGGGGGCCCGCATTGTGGAAAAGGCGCCTATAGGAGGACAATGATCTGACTGTGTGTGCCAGCGACACCGACCACTGTGGGCCTTCATAGGGGGGACGGAGAGACATGGGATGTGTGCAGAACAGGAACATTCATTATATTCTGTGTTACCGATTCATCAATCGTAACAGAAGTTTGCCTTATAGTTTCACATTTTTTATATATACACACATGTGGGGTCCATAGGATCGGGGGGTTTGTGAGCCCCTAGAGAGCACGTGCTTCCGTCCTCTACAATGGGGGGAAAAGTTTGGCAGCAGCTCCTATTTCACAGGCACATTGCCCATCCAGCTGGACAACAATGGGGGCAAGGCACACAGACTGACTCATGTGGGGTCATAGGGGAAGGACTGCTAGCGTGAACCAGCTAGATAAGAGATATATTTTTACACACACACACACACACACACACACACACACACACACACTGCTGTAGAGAGCCACAGAGATGAAGCGAGTGCCAAAGAGACAGCAAGAGAGTGAGCACCAGAGAGATGAAGCGTGACAGCGAGGTTGCTAGAGAGAGTGACAGAGCCGGAGAAAGAACAAGAGACAAAAAGGAAGAGCTGTATAGTTGTAGGAAGAGAGGTGTGTGTGTGTGTACTGGTTTGTCTATACTGGAAGAAGCCATGGATTGTACGTCATTAGTGGCAGCACATTCTGTATCATTGTGCTTTGTATATCTGGCTCATTGACAGTCTGTTTGTCACCCTCTCTCTTTCATACATGGGGGGGGTCCATTAGGCAGCTGCCCCAAACCTTGGGGGCAAACTAGAGCCCCCAGCTTATCTCTACAGACACTGGCGATGTGGTTCTGTCACCGATTTGTAATGGTGCCTGTAATCCGGAGCGGAGACCCTCATCTTTATAATCTCACACTCCTGTAGATGCCCTTTTATTGAGGCAATGTACCCCTGGAAGTTGTGTGTGTACTCCTTGTAGATCAATGAGAAGGCCGCACTCAGGGCTGTGGGCCAACCTATTGCATCTATTGTATGGCCTGCTCATGCCTCTTACTACTACTACTCCCCTCAGCCGGCCTATCACACCAGACTCTCGGCTGCAATGGCCTGACAAAGGGCTCTGGAAGGTGCATTTCATGTGTTGGCCACTAGTAGCAGTGTTTATATCCTCGGCCGGGGCACAGATGTGAACTTTAGCCTTACCATATAGGCATTTATCGACATCGTGTTGTGTCCTTCGTCGTTTGCGGCTTAGTATGAAAGCCGCAGTTGTGGCGTTCCTCGCAGCTTTATTGTGTGCACGATGAAGTCTGGTGACCTGATGGTGGTGGTAGAAGGTGAACGTGATCCATAGAGTATCAGATCTGCTCTGTTCTCTGGATGTGCATGTTGTTGAATTTAGGAGCCGACAGATGCTTGCCAGGTATCAGGGATGTTCTCATTCTGTGTAACAAAGTAGGAACAAATGGATGCAAAGGTGTTTTCGCAATACCTGGTTAATGGAATTTCTTAACCTGACGGGGGTTGACGTATACATATTTTATGTATACTCTGATATATATATATATATATTACAATACACCTTCATCCTGTAAGTCAGGGGTAGGCATTCCGGGCACTCCAGCTGTGGAGAAACTACAAATGCCACCATGCCTCTACCTCTGGGAGTCATGCCTGTGGCTGCAAGTCTTGCAATGCCTCATGCGACTTCTTCCACAACAGCTGGAGTGCCGAGGTCACCTAGCCCTGCTATAAGTGGTTCAAGGTTAGCAGTAGAGATTCACTGATACCGGTTTTTTTGGATTAGTATGAGTACCGTATATTTTATAGTATGAGTACAGCATATTTATCTTTCGGTACTCACAGATACAGAGTAACGATACTGGTACTTCCGCTAGCATGGAGTCGGCTTCCCAGCCAATCGGGAAGATGGGCGACGTGCCATTACACGCCGCCCAGCTTTTTAATGGGGCGGGAAGCCGGCTTCATGCGGTTTGGCTAGTTCCATGCTGATTTGGCAGGGAAGCCATGTTCCCGATCAAACTGCATGGAGCCAGCTAATCGGGAATCCGGGCAGTGGGTCATTACCCGCCGTCCAGCTTTCTGATTGGCTGGAAAGCCGGCTCCATGTTCCCTCACGGCACTGCCAGTTAGAAGAAATCTCCCTCTGACCGGAAGTTCCAGTATCAGGGGTAAGTATCGGAGCATTTGGGCGACTACTTCTACTTGGTATGGGCACTGATGCTGGTATTTGTGCATCCCTAGTTAACAGTATCCTTAGATGTAATTTGAGTTTCGAAGGGCCCGTACCTACAAGCCTGGGATGCTAACCACTCTGGCCGCTATTTTTTTTCGCTAAAGGATTCATATTTCCTCCTGGTAGGTGGGCATTTGTTTTGGTGATGTCTGAGCATTTGCTATCTATACATTGCAGTCTATTTTGTAGGGCAATGCAGAGCCAACTCTCCCTTCCTTAAACCCGCACTTATAGAAGTGGAGGAACACATGGAAAATGGCGGCTTCTGGCATCTGCGTGTACAGATGTCTGAGTGAACAATTTCCCTGCCCACAGGGCTGGACAATTGCCAGGAAGCAAAAGTAGAGAAAAATGATGTTGGTGCTTAATTTGTAAGCCTTTTCTATGGTGAATAAAATGATACACTCCCCGAGCCTTGAAATAAGTGATCCTTGGATTGGCGCGATTGTATGATCTTCATTCGTTCACAGCTGGTATGTGTTTAGGCCCCCAATGTATAGGCAGGACATAGGCTCTCTACACAGGGACATATCTTCCCTCAATCATATCAATGCAACTGCTCTGGCTCCCAGGTTACCTGAAGCAGGCATTTGTATTGTATCCATTTCCAGTAATGATGTCTCTTGATCTGTAGCGTATTTTGGTACCTTAATCGCCATCTAGGCATGTGCTGGTACTGTCCACCGTGCGATCACTCATAGCAATCAGACGAACTTTGTATGTTGCTCTTTGCTTCTTAAATTAGTTTCTTGTGGCTTTACTTGTATTTTCTTTCTGTGTAACTTTAAAAATCGGTTTCATTGCAGCCTCCTCTCCTGTGACAGACAGTGACCTCTCCAGCATTCCTTGGATTTGGAACACAACCTCTGCTTCTTCGTGCCATTTGTTCTTTCAAAAATGGCTTCCGGACATGGACCTTCCTCCCCCGGCAGTGATAATGAAATTGAAGTCATGTTGAACAGTGGCCTTCACCAAGGTATGTAGTCTTCTATAAGATGTGTGACATAAAATACAGATGTTTGTTCTTGCACTCCATTTCAGGTCTAATGATATAAAATACCTTTTGCATGACCTTCCGAAAAAAATCTTTCAGGGTTACAGCCAAGTTTTGAGTGCCTATCGGCTGAACAGTTTAAAGAGAGCGGGTCCTCTGAGTGTCCGTGACTCCCCCTGATTAATTTGGTCTTCGCTTTACCTTTCAGAGATTACTCATGGTGTTTTGTGTTTTCTTAATGTTTGCACGTATTAACTTCTAGTCAAAGCAGAAGTGTCCGGCTGCAAGTCAGCCCTTTCTCCTCTTGTTAACTGTATAGGATAGACCCTCAAACTGCTGTTAAAAGCCCTGTCCCTGTAACATAAAGACTGTTTACCCATATTCAGATAATTGGGTAGGGTAGCAGTAATCGGCCCTGATGGTTTACCCTTGTTCAGAAACTTGGGTAGGGTAGTAGTTGTCGGCCCTGTTGGTTTACCCTTGCCCCAAAATCTGGGTAGGGTAACAGATGTTAACCCTGGCGGTTTACCCTTGGTCCAGAAACTTGGGTAGGGTAGCAGATGTCGGCTCTGACAGTTTGTCGTCCAGAAGCTTAGGTAGGACAGCAGCCATCAGCCCTGCTCTCAGGCAGCAGACGGGTCGGCCTCCATGGGGGCCTTACAGCTAGGGAAAGAATACAGCTAAATAACAGCATATGCAGATCGTGGAGATTATGTTCTTGTAGATGCCCATTCCTTATCTGAGATTTGTAGTAATAGGGGAAAATACTGAAAAAAGCTGTCATTGATGCTGGTTTGCTTTACACAGAATAGCAGTATGGGCATGTGTGAATCTTCCTGTTGCATTGCAATAAAGTTTGTTGAGATGGTGTTTTTTTTTAAAGCATCTTTATTGCCAGCTTTGTCTGTCCACCTTTAAAGTGTAGCTCCACTCTAAGTAGGAAGAGGAATCGGCAGGACTCAGTAGAATAATCCAACATGTCCATTTATTGGACCTAGACGTCACACAATCACAAGAGCCAACGTTTCGAGACCACGCAGGGTCTCTTCATCAAGGCATAAAGAGTCATTGTCACTATGCCCTGATGAAGAGACCCTGCGTGGTCTTGAAATGTTGGTTCTTGTGATATGTGTGACGTCTATGTCCAATAAATGGACATGTTGGATTATTCTACTGAGTGCTGGTGATTCCTTTTCCTATATTGTGTCTGCACGGTGCCATCCGTGTTCATCACTACAAGCACCATTGTCTACATAGGCCTTGATTGCTGCAAGGTGTGCGGAGGATTTCCCCTTCTATCCAATTAGCTCCACGCTAATGCATCATAATGCGGAAAAGGGTGTCGAGTGATTTACTCTTTTTTTTTTTTTTTTAGGTTACATTTCAGTGACTTGCTGGTCATGTAAAGAGGGAGGTGTGGGCCTTGGGTCTCATAAGCCTGTCCATCTGAGACTTCTGCTGCTGGTTTTTTAACCCGGGCACACTCGCCTCCTCGCTGTAATAATCACTTATGATACACGGAGGTAGTGCAGGCTTGGCTACAAAATAAGGAAAGATGACATTAAGCTTTCAGAAAACTGCTACAATTTCCATGAGCAGTTCTGGTTTCTTGGTATGATTATCTGCTCTCTGCAGCATCTGACTATAAACAAATTTAGCTTGTCACATGACACTGCTGATCATTGGCCACGACATCGATGCATTTGGTGGTTTGGCTCCTGACACAATGCAGCATACTTTTGCTAAGGTCAAGCAACATGATCCTGCAGATATACAGCGCCTCTTACTTTCTACGCCAGTGAAGTCTGCCCATCCTTTGTACGCTTTTATATTTAACGTTTACTAGATTAATACGTATTGGGCTGTAACAGATTTCCTTTGGTCTCTCCATTGCTGTTGCACATCATCCACTGATCAGTTTGTCTGTAGTGTGAGATTATACCATGGCTTGTCATATTAAGAGAGTTGGAAAAAGGGGTAGAGGAAGGTGTAAGACCATATTAGTCTGTGGATTTCTTCAAGCATACTTGTCATCAGACTAAAGGTGGCCATACACTCTACAACCATCGCAAGACTTTAGTCTTGCGATGGTTGTAAAGGGATTAAAAAAACGTACGATCTGCCTATCTTGGACAGGCAGATCGCACTCTCGATCATCGCAAGCCCACCCCCCTGAGGGGCGGGCTTCCGATGACCGCAATGCTGAACGGGCACTGTGCGCGTGCGCACACCGGCCCGTTCGTCATTTGTCTTCCGAGCACCGCTCTAACCAGCCGAGAATCGTACGATTCCCGGCTGGTTTTCGAACATGCTGGTTCGACAGAAGACGTGCGACCGTACAGTAGAAACGGTCGCACGTCTCCGTTCACACTGCTCGATTCTCGTACGAAAACCCGATCGCATACGATTATCGTACGATAATCGTGCAGTGTATGGGCACCTTTAGACAGGGGTAGCCAACTCCGGCCCTCCAGCTGTGGTGAAACTACAAATCCCATGATGTATCTCTCTCCGGGAGTCGTGGCTGCGAGAATCTTGCAATGCCTCATGGGGTTTATAGTTCCACCAAAGCTGGGGGGCCGGAGTTTGGCTACCCCTCGACTAAGAGGTACACACCTGTTAGGCACTTTTCAGGATTTCCTAGAATCACTTAATATACTTAAAACTAATCCTAACTTTAGTCTCAAAAGATGTTAAAATGCTGATCCTCTTGCAAGATCAGAAATCTAGGCAGCGCTCCACTCTCTCGCATGCTCCAGAAGGCATAGAGTGGGTTAAAGGACATCTGAACCCAAGAACAAAAATTAAAAGATCTCCATGATTTTTAAGTTAACACTTGTAGTCTGGGGGTAGCTCCAGTGCAAGGGTTAAGTGCTCGTTTTGGTCTAAGGAGCAGAATAAAGATACTTGCCCGAACTGTGGCATTGACTGTTCACCTCTCTTCCCCTGCACTCTGGCTGTGGTATGTCCCTCAGCATATTGTCTAATGCAAGTGAATGGACCCTGTATAGATGTGATGTCAGTGGTCCTTAGACTGCTGGAGCTTGGGGGGAAAAGAGGCTGTGGGGACTTGTCTAGCATCCAGGTCGGATTGAGGATCAGGTGAGTATATTTGCATCCCTAAACCAAAACAAGCAGTTAACTCTTGCAGTGTGGGGCTAGCCCCAACGCAAGGTTAACTTTGAAATTCCTAGGTTTCCTCTTTAATATATTGCAGATTACCATTCATCAGATGTGTTGGCTTCATTAGTTTTTCCAATTCATCCTCCAGGACAGCACAGGGGAGAGGTTCCGCCCACCTAAACCAGGAAATGCATCATCCACAATTAAAATAAAGAGGACTGTTCCTTCCCAACCACCTCGTTTTTTGTTCCCCAAGGCCAAGCAGGAAGACATAGTTGGGTTTTGTGGTTTTCCCCGCCGGCCTGTGTGCTTCGTTCAGGGGCCTGACAGTTATTTACCCCTAGAGCACTGCGGGTTCAGTAAATCTGCAAGGGTGGAATACCCGGGGTGAATTAAGTAGGCAGGACCCTCTCTCTCCTGTTCTATATTTTTATTTTTCCCCCCTGTGGTTTCTACCACATAGAGTTGATAGAAAAATTGAAGGATCCGGGTGGAAAATTGTTAGCCAAAGAAAGAGAGGACGCAGTCAATCGGTTGCCGTCACCGTTTAGTCAGACAGCTGCGTGTACCCGGTTGCCTGAATAAAATAGCCAGCTCATGGAGATTCCTACCATCCACGCTGTTTACCGTGGATGGCGGGATTTATTTTTCTGTTAATCCCTGCAGGGCCGAATGAGAAATCTAACAGTAGGGCTAACTGAAATAAATGTTCTTCAAGTACAGAAAACCATCTTGTGATCGTGTTAGAATTCCTGTGTCCTTGTAACTTCCTGTGCACTGATCTGCCATCAGCTTTACCAGCCCTTCTCGTCTACGTACTACAGAACCCCTCCTTAAGTAATGGAGAGGAAGTGTGTAGTCAGATCCGTAATGCAGCATAGGGTTGCAATAATGCTTCTCTAGGTGCCGTACAGTAAGCGAATGTTGTCACTTGAGGGCAGCAAGTATTTTACTGGGAGGGTCACCAGGATAAAACAAGCCTGAAATGGGAAATGAATGCTGCCACCATGTCTGAGGATTGTAAGCTGGAATATCTTTACTTGGAACCCAGTGCAATATGCTAAATGTTTTTTGAGTTGAGATGCGCCTTAGTCGGGGGGGGGTCCTTGGAGAACCGTCCATATTGGCTGTTGGTAAATGGAAGACCTTGTTGTTGTGAAAGGATTATCGCATCCGGATTTAGAAGGTGGAAAGTGCTATTCACGTGTGAGGTGTCATCTGACATGTTCTCGGCAGGCTGCATCTCATTACTAGGAAGAGATGATGGTTTGTTATGACGAGTCATCAAAGATGGTGCTAGCGCAGTGGGGAGTATTGTACCAAAATAGATACCAGCCCACTGCAGATTTCTTGGGGTTTGTGCCCAAGGTTTGTGGGGGTTTGTCCCCAAGGATTGTGGGGTTTGTCAATTGCTCTACATGTTGGTGATCACTAACCGTAACGATTTATAAAAGATTGCCATGCTTGCTGCTAGGTGAAATATTTTGCTGAACACCCTGTAGGCCAGGGCTGGACAAATCCCGGCAGACTGGGAACCAGTGCTCCTTAAACAATACAGCCAGTACCTACTTTGTCTAGTTTGTTAGTGGAACCGTCTCCTGAATTCCATGTTAATTTGTCCACCCCCTGCCGTAGACTGTCATTCCTGGCCTAGTTCCCTGGCTGATCTAATGGTTTCAGTACTGTCAGGCTTTGACCCAGTATGTAGATCAGGTGCTAATACTACATTCCGAAGGTTCTGATCCGCGCACTCTCACCAGGCCAATGCAGAAACTAATTGTCACCAGCACACCAAAGGAATACGCACAAAATCCGTCTTTGACGAGTAGATATTAGATCACAAGAATAGATGTCTTGGG